GCTAGATGTGCTGGAGGGGCAGGATCCTGCAGAGAGCATGTGGGGACCCTGGCCCATCCTGTAGCTGTGGCAGAACTTCCTACCCCACCTGGGGGAACAGAGTAGGGGGCTCTCTGACATACAGACCCCTTTCTAACCTGCTTGCCTACAGTGACACTGTCCTGAAAGGAGAGAGATGGAGCAGTTTGAGGGAAAATAATCGAAAACTGCTGCATCTCTTTTCTTGCACAGCTGGGGGTTTCTAAACTGTCATCTCTCCAGACTGAAGGGTGAGGGGCTCATTCTGTGAGCAGATATCCCCGGCAGTGGGACAGTCTCTCTTCCATCATATAAGCAAAGAAATAGGCTGTGTTGTGCCTCACAGGTAATGAACTCCTCTTCTCATTACAGAAAGTCACTGGAGAGAGAGAGAAACTTGCTAATGACCAAAGCTGACAACTATGGTAAGAGCTTCATTAAAAATGGTTCCTCTGGGCTGGATGGGATCAGTGCTGCAGCTTAGCTTCATCTTCAAGCTCCTGCCACCTCTGACTTCTGCCTTTGAATTTAGGTTCAACCAAAGGGAGCTAGACTGAGGGAAATCCAGTCAGCATATTATAATAGGAGTCTGGATCCTCCCGCTTGAGCCGAGCTATCATAGGGGAAAAAAATAAGCATCAGCTAATGAGGGGGGAAAGATGTCCCTTTCACACACCCTGAATTACTAGTCTTTAGATAATCTTAGCCAACAGATTGACTTGAGTGGCTTTTAACATCCCCCCATTCCTTCCCCCCCCGGCTTTTCTTTTTTAATAGAGGCTTGCTAAGCAAGCTGGCAAGTGCTATCTGGAGCATAGTAAAGTATACCTTCCTTGGGGAAGGTTCTCACTGCATCGGTTTCTGCGGCTGTTCAGCACACACGAGCGTAGGGATTCACACTGATTGGTACCTGCAATTCCAGAGAGCCAGGGTCTTTCCTGCTGCAAGTCCTGCTGTAAACAGTTAAAATGAGAGTCCCTCTGAGCTACCGCACATTTGTCAGCACTTCCATTCTCCTAGGGATGCTGCTGTGCATGTCTTCAGGCTCCTGGTGTTGATCAGTGTGTTAACTGATTGACAGCACTCTGCAGCAATGCAAGCACCAGAGCTCACACAGGGGAAAGAAGCACAAGAGTTCTTTTAGGCCTGGAGAGTTGAAAGCTGGGGTATGGCCAGCAAATTTATAATTTTAACTCATGTTAAAGGACTGTTTCCAGAAGACTTAACAGTTATTTTAAGCAGATTCAAAGCTGTTCCCTAAGGGCATACCACTAGAGACAGCAGAATACTCTGCATGTCGCTGCCACCCTTTTGCCAGCAGTCAGCCATCACTGCTGGCATCAACAGAGCAATCTGACAGGCTGCTCAGACAGCAGCAGCAGCCTCACCTAATGGTGATGGCTGCTCCTCCTGGAACAGAGCAGAGAGTGCATGTGCACGCAGTCTTTTTAGATCACTGCTATGACCTCTGATTAAATCTCTGCTTATTCCATCTGACACACTTGAGGCCATGAACAATGCTGACAATGGCATTGCTCCATCAGTTTAAGCTGGCACTGCTGTGCTTGGGGTTATGTGACCTCCTGCCTCTACCACCTCCTCTGTAGCCTTGCAGAATCAAGCAGTTTGCATGAGAATGCTGGTATTATGTGAAAAGTGGGGTCAGAAAGAACAGCTAAAAGCCTCTTTTGATACCAGCACCGGTTTGGGAACCTGCAGCACTAGGGTATTCCCATTGGAGGCTGCTAGTGCAAACTGTAGAGGCAGTAACCAGTGCAGTCACTGCAGCTGAATTCAGCAGCAAGAGCAGTCTGACTCTGGAGACAGTCTGCATCCAACCCTGCCCTGCAAAATGATTATTGCTGTTTTGCCATGCAATGTATAATGCTGTAGGCCTCGCTTCTTGCCTGTACCATTCAGCAAAGTCTCATGGAACAGAACTTACCATCTTTGGTAAAGGGAATGGAAGAGAAATGGAGATCAGTAGGATTCCATACTTTTGGTAGCCCCTGCCTTCCTCTCTCTGCATCTCTGTCTCTTCTTTTGTAAACCAGGGTCAGGGAAGGTGACCTGTCTCTAAAAAGCTGCAGACCCCAACAGAATGAGTGTCCAGGCTCAGACCCGTTCCACACTCATCCTTCTGGGGCACAAGGAAACCCAGATTCTGCAACATTCAAAAGGTGGCCACAGTTGTATTTAAGTAAATTTAAGCACTAGGAAAAGGTACCAGACTGTTAGTCTAGAAGATAGTAGAAATAGCTCTCTACCTCTGTCTTCTTCATTCTCTTAGGGAACAAGCAATTATTCTAATGACTCATTCTGTCCTTAGTAGGGTACTAGAACAAGGTCATTTGCAAACAGGAACTGGTCTGGCACTGAAATATTCCCAAGCACAGCTACTGAGATTGACAGGATGAGAGTTAGCAAATGAAAGGGTTACTGCTAGTTTACTTCCTGTTTAGCACGTCTTATAATTGGCAGCTTTGCATACTGATCCCAAAAGAGTTGCCTGTGGCCAAGGTAGCAGTGTGCTTTTAAGACAGTTTTGAAAGGACATGTACCTGCAACACAAAGAACATTCACAGGCAAGGCTTTTGTTTGTTTCCCAGAGAAAGAACTGAGTGTGCTTCGTAAGGAAAATCGCAAGAATGCTGCCCTTGCTGTGGCCATGGGGTTGCTGATTGCTCTTATTTACGCCTGCTGGACGATGTGATTGCACTCAAGAATTCTCCCTGCTGACCAAATGACTCCCCTGCAAGGAGCTCTTCCTCCTCTCACCCCTGTGCCTCTGCCAAGGGTGAGGATCAGCATTTCAAATTGCTGTTCTTGTTTATCCTCTCCAAGCCTCATTGTAGGGAAGCTTTTTCTCTGAGAATTGAGGGGGACAGGAGACAAACCAGAAATCACAGCACACTTGCAGTTGGAAATTGGATCAAGCAGAGCTCAAGGTGGTGCTGTCTTACCCAAAACACAGTCAAGACCATCCAGCCTGATGCAGGAAGGCAATATGGTCTCCCTTTTGAAGAGGACCTCTGTGGTTGCAGACAAGTGCTCTCTGCCCAGCCCAGTCGGAATATATGCCACCTTCTTGGTTCCTGTGACTCAGCCATAAGCTGAAGGGACACCAAGCTCTTTGAATCAAAGGGTAACTTTGGTATTGTGACCTAAAGACTCCATGTCTGAGCTAAACAAAGGTGTTTCCTCCTCCACGCTTACAGGACCAAAGGAATCCTACCTCCACAAAAACAGATGGGAGGTAGGTATATCTCCTTATGCAAGCAGATAGCATCCAACTTGAGATCTGGGTGCTTGGGCTTTGAGAAGCTCTACCTACCTCTCCAGTGCATCAGAGCTTGGCAGCCATTTTGTGCCTCTGAGAATCATTACTTGCAGAAGAGAATTTACTGTCAACTCCCAGAGATGGAACTAGCTCTGCAGGGCTTTAAATAAAATAATTTGACCTTGTAACTTCTGTTTTTCTTTTTTTTCCTGTTTTGTAACATGCCTCTCAGCCACTGCTTTATTCTCATTCTACCATCTCCCTGCCAGCACTGCACTGCAGTAAGCCTAGACTGGGTTAGGCACTTAATATCAGCGAGGTCTCAACAGTGGGTTATTGGCCTGGAATCTGCTTGACTGTTTGCTACCTTTGAGTGGAAAAGCAGCCTAGCATGCTGCAGAGGAGTGCTGGAGACTGTCCCCTGTAGTCCCTTCTCATTCTGATGCAGTGACATACACTAGGTAGCCCTCAGTGTGCTCTAACTTGCCAGGAAAGCCTTTAAGAGGCGACTGCCTTGAAAATTTAACTGTGCAAGGCATTTCTGTGTCTCCACACTAGCACACACTGCTGGCCAGAATTTTGTGGGAAGCAAAGTAAACAAGCACTGTTGTGAACTAAAGGGGCTGTATTGGTAATAGAGACAATGAAAGCAGAGGAGTCAACACAAAACGATACACAGCCTAATAACAATACATTGTGCAATTAATGTACATAAACATTCCCTTCAGCAAGACCTTCCTCACCCCCCTTCCCAACATAATCCCTCCATATTTACCCTCCAGCAGGGAAGCAAGTAGCATGGTGGCTCATGCTTGCCTTCTTGAAGGGGGATTCAGAATCGAGGTTCAGTGCATCAAAAATAAAATTAAAAGCAAATTAAAATCAGGAGGAGCTGGAGGCAACTGGGTAAACAGAAAGTATCTGTTCATAAAAGCTAGCCTGCAGGCTAACCAGGGTTTTTTTTGCACCCTCAGAGGCCTACACTCACCCTAGTGTACTTCCTAGTCACCCTTCTGTCTGCCAGCCCGTAGGAGACCAAAGCCCTGAGTGGAGGACACAACACTTAGCAAAGGAGCCTGGCAAAGGGAGCAGCATGCTTTGCTGGCATTGGAACAGCCTCAAGGCAGCCCAAAGCAGCATCAGAATTCAAATTACTGGTTGGTTTAAAAAGCCAACTCTACACAGGCGTGGAAACCACACAGTTGGGAGGTTCTTTATTGTCCACTGGGAGAGACGACTCCTCATCCCTCAGGGAAGTGCCTTTGCCAAAACAAAACTGCCAGTGACAGGCCTCTTGTTCTTTGGGGAGGAAGGGCCACCATTTCTTTCATACATGTTTTACCGATGCTTGAGAGCAGAGGGTGTCTACAGGTCAGCAAGAGGGTGCATTAACAGCATACAGTCCCTCAACTGCTTTGGTAGATCTAACTGTGTCTGGGGACGAATAATCACCAATATGGAAAAAGCAGCTTTGACCCACTTCACTTTTGGTCAGAGCTTGAGAAGAAACAGAATAGCTCCCCTGCACAATATTCAGGGCTACCTATTTGTAAGCTAACCTCCCATCCACTCCCGAGCTTTGCCTCTTTTAGTTTCCATTGACCAACAGACCTTGCAACTTCTGTGCTACTCCTTTAGCCAGGGGTGTGGTTCTGCAGTGATCAAGCCTGCATATAATTTTCTCTGGTGCAAGGAGTCGCAGCTGTTAAATTCTTTTACACCAAACTATAGAGAACTAATACATGGTTTTATGGAGACAATTTGCTGGTGAAGACATGGAAGTGCTCCAAGGTCAGAGAGCACAGCCTACTTGTAGGATGACATTGAACTGCATGCTGAGAATGAGCACAAAACCTACGCATGATGCTGGGCCTTAGAGGGTAGAGGTGCGACTTCTACAACATGCCATTCTTGTTCTGGCTTCTTCAGGTGGGGTGCAGGGCACCCATGCACCTATACACCTACAAGTGAAAGCTTCCATGTCTTGCTACATAAAGCTTGTTCAAATCATATATACGGGTGTGGAGAGAAACAGGAATCTAAACAACTGCTATAGATTCTAGAACTATAGCTTTCTTTAAGGCACAGTTCAGACAACCCCTAAATCAGTTTCCTTCCTACTGCCAATCTGTGTTCAAAAACACACCAAGAACAAAAAAAAAAAAAGGGCAATTTTGCTGCTTGGCCAAAAGCAGTCAACTGTCAATTGTGTGTTATCTTCTGATTTATGTGGAAGACCTGGCAAAAGTGGAAGCCAGAAGTGAAGGTAAAACATGCAACAGAAGACAACTTTGAGCCCAGCACAGAAGTGCATGGAGAAGTCTGTTGACACACAAATACCATGCTGAGAGTTTCACAGCTCTGTGCCTTCACCCCAGATGCAGTTCCAGGGCCAAGGACATGGAGGGTTTTGAAGCCTACTCTGACATTTAAAAAGGAAAGTCTAGTAACCTTCCCAGTGGGCACTGTCAGGGTACAGGATTTCTTTTGATTAACCAACATGGCCAAAGTCAAGATCTCTTTTCACTGAAGCCCTGGGTTTTTTTAACTAAGACAAACGTTCCCATCATTTCCTCCAAAGACCTCCAGCATCCCAACCTTCCTGTGTCTCCCCTCCCACATCTGCTTTCCTCCCTGAAGATTTGGGTAATAGCATCGAGTACCAAGAAACAAAGCACCTTGGTCTCAGAAGTACCATGAGGCATAGACATGTTCACAAATTAACCCCAGGCTGCTGGCTCAGGATCAGTCACTGACCTGGAGAGGGGAAATCCTTGTCACAGCAGCTTCTAGGGGTCTGAGAAATCCCTGGCACTGAGCACAAAAAATCTGGTTCTGCCAGGAACTCTACTCATCACCTGTGTTGGCCTTTGTCCAACAGGATACCATCACATAGGAATTGCCAGTGGCCAGCCAAGTGCCTTGATAAGCAGAAGTGTTGGAGACACCAACAATAATACATACTTGTGTCCCAAAGCTAGCATTCCCCAATGAGTTAACACCCTCCACTGGGTAGTGTAGGCCTTTAGCAAGGCCGAGGAGACAGATAGCTGCCAGGAATGATGCAGGGCCTCTTCAATGTGCTGTTGCCCAGCTCTGCCACCAAGACATCTCTGCTCCTTCCCACACTGCCAGGGAAGCACAAGCCTGGAGAGTTCTGGCACGCGCAGAGCTCCACAAACCTCGCTGAATGTTTGAACAGGAGCAAAGCAAGCTGCCAGCCCCTTGGCCTCATGCGTGCAGTAGGTCAGGACAAAAGGGCGTTAGGCCTTGGCTCCAGGAGTCACCATAGGTACTCCAGCAGCAGGCGCTACCTGGGCCGTACTCTTATATACACTGCCAGGGTAGAGCCTCGTCCTGTGCCTTCTGCATACTACCCCCTGGTTCAATCACCTCCAGGAAATCAGCTCTGGAGAAGACCAGGATAGAAGTTGTGGAGCCTCCCCAGTCTCATCAGTCCCTGAAGAATCCCAGCTGGGCTCAGGCCCTCCGCACCCCTCAAGAGAGCAGGGTTAGGGGTAGTGCGCTTGGATGAAAGACAGGACATCCTCCTTTGATAGCTTCTCTGGATCTTGTCTTTTCTGAGAGTCGTGCACTTTGACACCTTCCCCCCACTCCCAGAAGAGGCGGCTGTAATGGCAGACGCTGTGGGCAGAGAGGAGAGCAAGATTAGTTTGGCAGGGGAGGGGAAGGAAAACACTCTCATCCTAGCCACAAAGTGCACTACAGAGTCAGCTGTCCTTGCAATGGGAGCCACACAGAGATACTCTGTCTAAGGGGTGCCTTAGAAAAAGACCGGTGCATTCATTCACCTTACAAACGCCACAGCCCTTAAGATACAGCAACTTCCAAGCCTAAGAGATTTCCATGGAAACAACTTTTAATTCTAGCTTCACTTAAGATTCAGTTCGGTATTTGCTGGAAGGAGACAGGTCATTAGAGAAAAACATACCTCCCCCCAAGTTTTTGAGAGGATGAAACAGTCATTGCAGGCAATGGAAAGGCCTTAATGAAGAATTTAGAAAGTCTGCCAGCAGCAGCAAGCAGCAATCTAATCACTCACCACAAACCTACTGGAATCAGTAATAGCTGTCCTATGGAGCTTTGCAAACGAACAGCACTTCACACTGTATAAAAGCAGATAGGATCATCCCCTCTTTCCCCTCGTGTGAAATAACCAAGCTCCACTTGGCTGCTGAGAGTTCTGGTCCTACAACGCCATCTCTCACTCCATCCATCAAGCACAGCCCTCCCTCACTGCATCAACATAGTCCCAGCCATAATGAAAACAGAGCTGCTAATTACTGCCGACACAGCAGCCTTTAGTTTTGTAGAATTACTGACACTTAATATTCATAGCTTATTTAGTGCTACTGTTCTAACAAAGCAGTACTAGCACAGTGACAAGAGCACATGTCAATGGCTAATTACAGACACATTAGTACTAACCACAACACATCCCTTCTGGAGTCCCACACAAGCGCTCCCTCCACCTCCTCAGCCATTCATGCAGGTTCATGCTGGCCTACTTCTGAGTACAGAGGTAGAACTAACTCCGTCCTGACACATGGAGGGAAAAAGCATCGTGTGCCTCTGCTTTTTAAGCCTGTTCTTCCATTTAGCTGGTTAAGGAAAGCTTAAGGATTCTTAAGAGCACTGCTGTAAGGTAGGTAAGGAGATTCAAAGTGAGAAAATCAGGAGCCCTATCTCATATCAAGCTCTGTCTCAGAGGCACAGTCCTGGGTAGTGGTGGTAGAGGGCATCTCTTCAGACTACCTGAGGGCAGGGTGTGCAGAATATGTCCACCCATGAGCCCTGAGGCGTCTCACAGACTCAGGATTTGCTATACTTAAGATGTGGCCCTAGCCTAGTCCTCAATAGATACAGATGGGGTTCAGCAACCACAGTATTAATGACTGTCCAATGACAAGCTACTCCATCCTTTCCCATGGAGCTGCTGCTTTTCTCT